TGTCCTTTGTCACTGTCAGGTTCAGTGTCTTCCGGGACCTAAGGGAAGCGATGGGGGGAGGTGAGGAGAGGCTGTGGAGCAGGGCTGTGTCCGATCCAGGAGGGCGCCTTGCACAAGACTTTCTGATGCAACTCAGTGGACACTGTGACAGCTTTTCTCAGAAAGGGAAGGTTTGGGAAGGGACCTGTACTAAACTCACATAATCTTTTCCTCCCCTGGCCTCTAGTGGCCTCAGGACTGCAGGATGCAGGCCAGAAGGAAGGAAGGTAGAGCAGGGGTCAGATGACTCAGCAATAGCTCCTCTTGGGAGCAGCTGGATTTGAGGTTCCCTCCCCTTCCCGGTTAGAAAGTAAGGAAGAGACTCGGGATCCCTGGAGGTTTGGAGATTCCCCTTGCTAGTTCTTTGAAGGCCAGCCTATCTAACTGCCTACAAGATATCTAGTTAATTTACCTTTCTACAATACTCCAACCACAGGGAGGATATGACGCCGAGCCCTGGAAGAGGGTGCAGGGCTTCCCCAGGAACCTTCCCTCCCTCTCCTTGAGGCTCCTAGTGGATCAATAGGGTTGTGGGACCGCCCAGACTCATCTTGCTGTGAGACCCTGTGCAGATTATATCCGCTCTGACACTCTATTTGCTTACCTGTAATGTGGGCAGAAATCTACCCTCAGCTCACAGGGCTGTGCTGAGGATCAGGTGAGAACACGGAGGGCCAGGCTGATCCTGCGGGGGACCACATGTCAGTGTCAGCTCTCGGGGCTGTGTGTGCTCAGATCTACAGTGGGTCTCACATGTGACCTGCCTCCCTGTGTCCTAGAAGAGCAGGTGGCGCAGACAGGGCACAAAAGGCCACAGGCGTTTGAACCAGACCCCTGGCTCTGAGCCCCAGCAGGCTGCCGTCTCTCTTGGCCACTGATGGTGCTTCTGTGAGGCCTGGTTTGTTCATCAGTCTCCAGAGATCAAAGCAGCAACTCTTGGCGAGGTGGGAGGATGATGCGAGGTGACGTAAGGGCTGCATAAGGGACGCCCCATGCCTGCGCACGGGCCCCAGTGGCACATTCCTCAGGACGAATCCCAGGCTGTCTTCCTGCAGCACCAGGCCCAGCCTGGCCATTGGTCTGGGGGACTAAGATCCCCGGGAAGCCCATGGGTGATTCCAGGAGGAGCACAGGCCCTGCCGCAACTCACGCATCACCTGTCTCCCTCCCTGCATTTCCCATCCTCCTTTGCTCTGTTTGTATTATTAGCCCCACTGTTTCCCTTCAAACCAGCTCATTAAAAAAACGAACTTAGACACATTATTGTGGCTTTTGTTGTTTGTTTGATTGTTTTGGTACCTGGGATTGAACTCAAGACCTTGGGCTTGCAAGGCAGGTGGCAGAACCACTAAGCTAAATCCCTGGCCCCAAGTTAGATGCATTATTTCAGATGGAAATTTCAAGCCACTAACCATTTGTCATAAAGAAGAGGTAACCATAAAATTAAACCCAAGGAAGCAAAACAAGATTATGCAACCCTAGCTCAATCCTGTTTCCAGGTGCTCTAATCTTACCTCCTCAGCAAGGGAGGCACTAAAACCCTAGAAGCAGTTGAGATACATGAAGCTTTCTCCCCAAGTCCCCAAAGGGACAAGATGAAAATCAGAAGGGGATCCATAAACCAGGACAGGTTTCAGTGTTCTGTTATACAATCTCAGAACCCTCAGGCCCTCTGGAACTCCACCAGTACTGGACATAGTACATTTTGGAAAATAATGACTTAACCCAATTCTTCCTCTTTTTTTCCCCCTCCAGTTTTGGGTATTGAACTCAAAGATAAATAAGCTGGACACTGTGGTACACACAGGTAATCCCTATGTGGGAGGCTGAGGCAGGAGGATCACAAGTTCCAGGTCATCTTGGGCAATTTAATGAGACCCTGTTTCTAAATAAAAAGTAAAAAAGCTGAGTGTGGTGGTGCATGCCTGTAACCCTTGCATGTGGGAAAATGAGGCAGCTTGGGCTACATAGCAAGTTCGAGGCTGACCTCCTGTGTAGCCACACTCGATCTCTAAATAAATAATTAAGTCTGGGAATGTAGCTCAGTAGTAGTGTCCTTGGATTTGAACCCCAGCCCCCACCCATACACACACAAAGATAAGTGTAGGGTCCAGTAGGGATTCAACTAGGTCACCCAGGCAGCACAAGATCGGGGCAAGCGGACAGAGTGACTCTCCAGTGACCATTCCCACAAGTCCATGTGGAAGCTGCTGGGTTGCCAAGATTGTGAGGTGTCTGGGGAACTGTGGCCACCTGTGTCAGCTACCCCAGGTTGAAATGTCAAATCTGCCCAGCTGGGCGGTTTTAGGTCATCCCTTCACTTGGATTCCTCTGGTCTATAGAATGGAGGTGATACTCCCTAAGTGTCTCATGTTCCTGCCTCAGGGCCTTTGCATTTAGCCATTTTCTCACATCTTTGTACTGCTCACTTTTCTGGTTTTGTTCACTGCTTCTTTTCCTTGAAATCTTAAATATTCCCTTTCTGATAAGCCCTGGTAAAAATAGCTACCCTCAGTCAAGACAGAAAACAAACCTATTCCCTTGTATTTTCTTTTTCATGTCAAGAAAATACATACCACCACTACTGTTTTTTTAATTGTCATGCCTAGCCTGAGATCTCCACAGCAAACAGGCCAAGAAAACAGGCTGCATTCAGCAAACAACAGGCTATTTCTCAGTAAGCAGACACTCTCTCCAGTGCTGAGAGGTACAGTGATGGTAAACACGCTGTGCTGACCATCCTTGGACTCTGTCATAAATATTTCTTATAAACATAAATTCCCTTTTCAATATCTATATTAGCCTAGCCGGGCGTGGTGGCTCACGCCTGTAATCCCAGCATTTGGGAGGCTGGGGCAGGAGGATCACTGTGAGTTCGAGACAAGCCTGGGCCACATAGTGAGTTGCAGGTCAGTCTCAACTAGGTAGTGAGACCCTGTCTCAAAAAACATACACACAAAAAATCTATAGTAGCCTAATTCCCTTCCCAGTTAGCTGCTATTTCTCTCTCCCTATGTCAGCCCATCCACACACAGATGTGATAAACTTGGCTCTTCCCAGTGAGCTGCTAAATCCGTCCCCAGTTTCAGTTCTTGTTCACCGGAATAAACTTTTTCCTCACAAAAGCCTCTCTCTGAGCAAGTTGTTTCACCTGTGCCTTCTTTCTTTCTTTCTTTTTTCTTTTCCTGGTACTGGGGATTGAACTCAGGACCTTGCACTTGGGAGGCAGGCACTGTGCTGCTAAGCTACACCCTCGGCCCATGTGCTGTTTATAATATTTTGGTGCTGTGACTCATAGGGCGCTTTCCTTGGAGAGTTTTACATCCTATTTGCAATGCTGCTGAAGCCCCCAATCAACCTAGGTCTCAGGATTTTGCTTCAGTGCTGCTGGAAAGCTGTTCAGCCCCATTCCACAGCTTTAGACTGAGTAAGGTTTTTCCTCCTACACCCTAGCCACCTCTGTCCTGTTTTTCCACTTCCCATGCCTTTGTGTGATCTCTGCAGCTTAGGCCAGGCATGACAATAATCTTTTTTTGTTGTTCTTTTATTTTTGAAGTGGGGTCTTGGTATGTAGTTCAGGCTGGCCTTGAACTCACTATGTAGCCTAAGATGGCCGGGAACTCTTGGTGTTCCTCCTGCCTCAGCCTCCCAAGTGCTGGGATTACAGGCACGTGCACCATGCCCAGGGACTACAATCTATTTTAATGATTATCTTGATGATAATCTCCCTTTCTATTGGTTTAGAAGATCTATTTGGGCAGATCTGGTCACCCTACCTCCCCAGCATGTAGATGAGGACATTAGCTCAGCACACAACAAAGTTAGCAATGTCCAGCAAACCTGGCACAGTGCTGGCTTCAGACAGGGGCTCAGAAAGCAACTATCCCTGCCCCTTGTCATTGTGAGAGTCTTCCATCTGTCTTGGTGTTCTGGCGTGGAAAATAAATTCATTCCCCAGCAGGGGAGACACTGGGGCTGAGATCCCATGGGCTGCGAGACACAAGCCAGCCGGGCCCTGGGGATTCTTCCTGCCTGCCTCCAATTCTGCCCGGGGAGTTACTTTTTGAGGGAAAACACCAAGACCTAAAAGGGGTTTTCAAGAAAGGCTCCTGGGGACTCAGGTGCGAATCTTGCTTGAGGACTCACCCTCTCAGTCTCCACTGTGTCCCTTCTATTTATGGAGCACTAAACCATTTTATTTAATCCTCCCAATGAGCCTGACAGGTAAGTACCGCCAGGAGTCCATTTCATGCGGAAGGAAACTGAGGCAGGGTTGTAAGTGGCTTTCTGAGGCAGCACAGTGCTGAGGAGGGGTGCACGCCAAGTTCGGGTGGTTCTAGGGTCCCTGCTTATAACCAGCAGGCTGCACAGCCTCTCTCCCATGAGTACTAGAACGTGCCCCCGTACGGCCCCATAAGGATTCTTCTGAGCCCAGAGGTAGCCAATTTTTTCCCCCTCCATACTGGGGTAAGACTCCAGGAAAGTCGCTGTTTTTCTTTTTTCCTTCAACACCATCCTGAGAAAGATGAACGTTCTTCCCTTGTCTTGGACAGGGAAACTAGAGCTCAGAAAAGCAGAATGTTTTTCCAAGGTGACAGAGAGCGTCAGCACCTGCCCTCAGGCTCGCGCTCGGGTCTGGGTCCCCGCGTGGAGACCTGACTCTCTTGGGTGGCCCTCGGGGCTCGTGCAGGGGGCCTCCAGGCTGGGCGGGGTGTGGGCGGCC